GGAAATATGCAGATCTATGGCATCTAGATTTCCCCAGAGAAAATTCAGAAAAACATGCAAAAAATTTTATGGACAATCTTCATCTAATATGACAAACTCAACTATACATTCATACTTGAGTCAAGTGTGTGTGTGTGTGTGTGTGTGTGTGTGTGTGCAGGAGTTTGGCGGTTACGTCCAGCAGGTGAAGTACAGCATCGAGCGGGTGAAAGCGGCCATGCCTCGTGTGTATGAGCTGGCAGCGGGCGGCACTGCGGTCGGCACCGGACTCAACACACGCATCGGCTTCGCTGAGAAAGTAGCAGATAAAGTGGCTGCGCTCACAGGTAAAAAAAGTTAAAAGCGCTATATAAATTAGGGCTGCAAAACAATTAGTCATGATTAATCGATTCAAAGTAAAAGTTTGTGTACTGTGTATATTTATTATGTACGGTATATATAAATACACACACATATATGTATATTTTATAAAATATTTGTATGTATTGGTATGTAAACACTTGTATATAATTTATATTATATATAAATATAAATATTTTACATATAACATAGTTTTCCTTAATATATACATGTATGTGTGTGTATTTGCATATACATAATATATATACACAGTACACACACACATATGTGTCCCTGCAGCACAAAAGCAGTGTTGAGTCGCTGGGGGATATTTGTAGCAATAGCCAACAATACATTGTATGAGTCACAATTATACATTTCTCTTTTATGCCAAAAATCATTAGGATATTAAGTAAAGATCATGTTCCATGAAGATATTTAGTAAATTCCGTACCTAAAACTTAATGTTTGATTAGTAAAGATGATTTAAAGTTGTAAAAATGCAACGGTGCGGCGCGGGACAACTCTTGATGGGCGGGTGCGGGTGCGAGCGGGAAGAGACTCGTGTGTGTCCCGCAAAATAGAAATGATCTAAACATAAAATGTCTAAAACATATAAATAGTTATTTATGTGTTGCACAAAAGCAAAACGAAACACTAATAACATTAAAAGGATTTACACGCGCAAGCTAGGCAGAGTTTCTATTTATAACACGTGTTTAAAGGGTTGCGCAATGTAGCCAATCGCAGACTCAGCTGTTGATTTCTGGAACGCAGTGGCCAATCAGAGGTGACTACGTTAGAATCCACTCACCGCAGTGCTGAAGTTGTGTGCTCACGAATCGTCTCATTTGAACACACACAAGTGTAGACACTGTGAAAGATTCATTGTGCATATGTTCATTGTGTTATAGCAGAGCTTTATGAGATCGCGATGAACTGATTTGTCAGCTTTTAGTGATAATTCCAAACCATGCGCGCAGCAGCCAATGCATAACAGTGGTTTGTGAATGTTGATGCTTAGCCTAAATAACAAATATTTTATCGGGAGTGTTGATGCTGGGATGTTGTGGATCTTAGATGTTACAGAACCATTTCATGTACATTTCTTTGATGTGCTGAAAAAAAATCTATATAGATTACTTTTATGCGGGCAGGAGCGGGACAAAATATGAATGTCGTGGGCGGGAGCGGGCCCAGATAAGATATTTTTAAGAAAAATCCGTCCCGCACAGGTCTCTACTCCAGGGTCACGTATGATGTGAGGAACAGAATCAAATTTGCTATTCACATTTACATACATTAAAGTATTGATGGAGCGTCTAAATATCAGTGTTTCCATACCGATGTATTTTCCTCCGGGTCCAGTGACGGCATCAGGTTTGTGTTTATTCTGCTTCCTCGTCCGCAGGTCTTCCGTTCGTCACAGCGGCTAATAAGTTTGAGGCTCTGGCGGCCCACGATGCACTGGTGGAGCTGAGCGGCGCTCTGAACACCATCTCCGTCAGCATGATGAAGATCGCCAACGACATCCGCTTCCTGGGATCCGGACCTCGCTCGGGTCTCGGAGAGCTGATCCTGCCTGAGAACGAGCCCGGCTCCAGCATCATGCCCGGTGAGTGACGTTCACCTCTGACCTTTAGCTCTGGACTCGTGTTTCTGGTCTATTTTTGGGGCCCTGATGTCCTCGACCTCTGAAAAATGCAATGCACGCAACTCACTCACGCGCACACACACACACACACACACACACATGCTCACTCTCACACACACACACACTCACACACACTCGCTCTCTCACACACGCTCACACACACACACACACACTCACACACACTCGCTCTCTCAGCTCACCCACACACCCACACACACACACACTCTCTCACACACACACTCGCTCTCTCACACACTCTTACACTCACACACGCACACACGGACTCACACACACACACACATTCTCTCACACACACATTCTCTCACATACTCACTTACACGCTCACGCTCACACACGCACGCACTCACGCTGCACGCTGTCCAGAAGCTGGAATCAGTCACACACTGTCCTGTGTGTGTGTGTGTGTGTCTCAGGGAAGGTGAACCCCACGCAGT